CTCCTCACTGTCTGATGTGGATCCTGCTCTTCTCTGGGGTCTTCCTCTCTCAGTGAGGGCTTAGAAGTAAATGAGGCGGCCCAATGTTGGTTCATAGATACCCTTCAATTCTTCTTGTTCTTGGTACTCCTTGCAGAGGAGTTCTTTCTCCTTTCATCGAGTCATCTCTTTGGTGGATTTCCTGCCTGTGCCTAAATGGGATTCTTCAGGTCTCTAGTTCATTTTTCATCTTCCTGATTGAACTGGTTCACTCCTTGCTCCCTCCTTTCAGATGACTACATTGTCTCAGGTCTATCTTGTTTTAGAGCCGGGTGCTTCGATGATTTCTCTGGACCTCCAGGGAGCGTTTTGGCTTGTCCCTATCCACTCAAGGTTCAGGGATTTTTTTTTTTTTTTTTTTTTTTTTTTTTTTTTTTTTTTTTTGGTGTGGCAGCAGGCTTTCTGCTTTTGGGTTCTTCCCTTTTGGGCTGAATTCAAAACTCTCCCTGTAAACACACAAGGTAATTGTCACTATTTTATGTTTATTACAGCTTGTAATAAAGTTGTTGCGTCGTGTTATAACGTTTATAACGTTGTTATGACGTATTAGAACATTGTTGCAAGGTGTTAGGTGTTAAGACTTGTTCACACGTTGTACCAACCATTGGGCAAGTTTCAACAGTTTTAATAACTGCTGCGAGGCCTATTGTGGCTAGGCTTAATGCTTCAATAAGTGTTCAAACCTCACATTTTTACATGTTTAACTCAAGTCTTAGTGGACCATCTTCAGTTGTTAGGGGTTCTGATGTTGGTCTACCATAACGACTAGCTGGTGTGGGCTACCAGCCAGTCTGCTTCTCTGCTAACGAGGAATCTGGTTCTTTCCCAGCTTTCCGGGTTTGGGTTCCGCTCTTTGCGTCTGATGTTCTGACACGTGTGGATCACCCTCTATGTGGTTATCAGGTGGCTTGTTAAAGGTGTTCCCCCTGCGATCCATGTCTTCCATCATTTTGTCCCATCGTCATTGCTTCTCAATTTCTGATAGGCTGTTCTGTCCTTTCTTGACTTTTCTTTGTTTGGCATCCTCTGTCATTTGCTGTCGCTGCCTCCTTGCAGTGTTGGCAGAGCCACTCTGGCTTGCATTTAAGGTCATTTCCTCTTTGGCTCTATTTCACATAGTTTCTTGCACATTGTTTTGCCTCTGACCTGCCGGAGGCAAAACAACAAAAATATGCCGCCTACTCCTTCCTTAGGTGTATTTTCCCAAATTGAGGTTAGGCATTTGTTGAGCAATTGTTACCTGCACCTGGCATCCAGTCAGGGCCTTCATTTCTGGTGAAGGAAATCCCAACAGGTCTTATGTGGTGTAGGATTGTAGTAGGCCTTCCCTCTGAGCTTGCTCTTGTCATGTAGGTTTTGTGGATACTATGCATTTCTGTTTTATTTGCACATAATTGACAAAATCCGTGATTGAGTACTGTTCATAGGTCTATAATGCAATATGTACACCTGTATTGCAAGTAAATTTGTTCCTGACCCAGCTAAAAGGAAGTGTCTCACAACCCTCTCCTTTACTGCTATTCTGTCTGGTAAGGTCATCCAAAAATAGATTTAAACACTGGCATGAAACACCAAATTGGGATTTTGATGATAATGGAAACCACTAGTATATAATGACATCATCGCATAGTAAACCATTAAAAAGTGAAAGCAGAATTTTTGTCTTTGGTCTTGGTTAACTACATTACATCCATGTACAGTAGAGGTATTATACCCTTATTTATATCATTTACATAAAACCAGGTGATAAAAAGCTAGAGCTAACTTCTTCCATTGAAGAAAGAATAAATTCTGACATATTGCTGACAGCCTTGAACATAAAACTGGTAAATGAATCCAGATTTGTATTATATTGTTAACCAAACAATTAGGTGCTAAAGCTGTAATTTTTTGTTCTAATAGTGTCTTAAACCTTTGTGTGTGTTTATGTATCTTTTTGGTAAGCATTTTCATTTTAGTAAATCTTTGTTACCTTTGTGTTTTATTGAACAAGGTCACCTGTGGGTGCAGTCACTCTGTCATCTTTTCTTGAGATTCTCTAAAACATCTTTGCCCGCGTTTATACGAGTCACTGCAGTGTGTTGTCATGTCACCTTTGTTTGAGTGTGATCATTTTATTCACTCTTACTTATCTATATGTGCTCAATTCCAGTTACATTTGTATACCTTTGTTTGTTAACTTGAGTTACATATGTGTGAGATCCCTTGAATCAACTTTGTGTGAGATTATTCGAGTCATTTTAGTATGCGAGACCAACTACATTGTCTGTTTTGCCACTCCTGGTCATCTGTATCTCTGTGCAGGTCAAGCTGGGTCACTCGGGGTCCTCCCACTATCCTGACCTGTTCACCTTTTGTCTAGCATTGTCCATGTCCGTTGTTACTTTTCAGTGTGCTAGGCATGTTTCTGTTTGGTGGAAAGTTTTGCATTAGAGCGGATGGCAGTGGCGATTGTACGTGCCGGGAGATCCTCGACCCTGAGTCTGGGTGTCTATGCACAAGAATGCACTTTAACAACTTCCTGTGGGCCACAGTGACTGTTTTTCAGGTGAGTCTAATGTGTTGGTACCAGTGACACTTGTGATATGGCCAATCTTCTCCACATGAGTGGTGTCTGACATGTAATAATACTGTACTCCTATGTCTCTCTTAGTTAACATACCTGGGTTACAGTAATAATCACATGTGAGAAATATCTGTTCATATATATTAGCAGTGACAGTTTAGGTATGGAATTAGCAAAGATCAAAATTTGACCCAAGTTTCAAGTTGTGCAAGAAGCTAGCAGAATTGTTGGTCTGTAGTGTGTGTGTGTGTACTCGCACAGGTGTTGAATTTGTGGTTGGCTTTATTGGTTGGTAAACACAGTAATCTGTTTCTTGAATACACTTTTGTGTGACTCATTGCATAGTCTCAACTTTGTGGCTTATTCATTAATAATAAATTAAACAAATAGATTATTATATATAGATCTTGTTGTAGATTTTAGCAAAATATTGTTATATTAATGTGATGTATAATTTATTATAAATGTAATTGAGTGAAGTACATCATAGTTAACATAGAACAAACAATCAGCTTAATTATTTTCACATACATTTACTAGAATTTTTTTTCTTTGGATAGCTATGTGTATTTTCTTTTAGAATGATCATTAAGATCTTCATACTGTTTGATGACAGGTTAATATTGCTAAAGTTCCAGATTTTTCATATGTCATTAAGTTTTGCTGAAACCCAATGTCATTACTCATTAAACATTACACAAAATTCTAATTATTAAAATTTTCTTCATGAACCTTTCCAACTGTTTCCAACTAAACCTCATTCCTAACACTTTCCTCATCACCTCTGCCATCACTATTCCTCATTCCTAACACTTTCCTCATCACCTCTGCCATCACTATTCCTCATTCCTAACACTTTCCTCATCACCTCTGCCATCACTATTCCTCCTCTTATTGCTTCTTTTACTTCTGTTATTATTGTCTCCACCAACAACACTCACATTAACCACTTCCACCTCCTTCAACAATTGCTATAATCACTTATTCCTATAATCACCTACCACTGCTACTACTACCACTGCTGCTACTACCACTGCTGCTACTACCACTGCTACTACTACCACTGCTGCTACTACCACTGCTGCTACTACCACTGCTGCTACTACCACTGCTGCTACTACCACTGCTGCTACTACCACTGCTGCTACTACCACTGCTGCTACTACCACTGCTGCTACTACCACTGCTGCTACTACCACTGCTGCTACTACCACTGCTGCTACTACCACTGCTGCTACTACCACTGCTGCTACTATCACTGCTACTACTACCACTGCTGCTACTACCACTGCTGCTACTACCACTGCTGCTACTACCACTGCTGCTACTACCACTGCTGCTACTACCACTGCTGCTACTACCACTGCTACTACTACCACTGCTGCTACTACCACTGCTGCTACTACCACTGCTGCTACTACCACTGCTGCTACTACCACTGCTGCTACTACCACTGCTGCTACTACCACTGCTGCTACTACCACTGCTGCTACTATCACTGCTACTACTACCACTGCTGCTACTACCACTGCTGCTACTACCACTGCTGCTACTACCACTGCTACTACTACCACTGCTGCTACTACCACTGCTGCTTCTACCACTGCTGCTCCTACCACTGCTGCTACTACCACTGCTGCTACTACCACTGCTGCTACTACCACTGCTGCTACTACCACTGCTGCTCCTATCACTACCACCCTTTCTTAAACTACAACTACCACCATATCCTCTCCATCTACTACCACCACTGCCCCTGTTTCATATACCACCACCCCCACCATTGCTCTGTCTTTGTCTACCTCCATCACCACTGCTTCTCCTTCATCTACCTCTGCCACCACTTCTCCATCATCTATCACTGCCATTGCTTCTTCATCTTCCACCACTTCTTTATCTTCCACCACTACTTCCTTGCCTTCATTTACCACCACCACCATTGCTCCTTTTTCCTCCACCTCCACCACTACTGCTTCTCCTTCAACTACAACCACCACCACTGTCCCACCACTGTCCTGTCTTCAACTACAACCACCACCACCACTGTTCCTTCTTCAACTACAACCACCACCACCACTGTCCCTTCTTCAACTACAACCACCACCACCACTGTCCCTTCTTCAACTACAACCACCACCACCACTGTCCCTTCTTCAACTACAACCACCACCACCACTGTCCCTTCTTCAACTACAACCACCACCACCACTGTCCCTTCTTTAACTGCCATCATCATCACCACTGCCTTTCCTTTATCACCACCACCACTACCACCACCACCACTTCTCTTACAAATGCCACCACTACCCTCCTATAAACACAACCTACTCCTACAACCACTGTTAACCCTTAAACAACCACCGTTACCTCTCCTCTCCTACAACCTCCACAACAGATTCTAACTCAAGAAGACTGGAATGTGGTGCTTTTCAATGGGATGGAAAAGACAAGCCATTGGGCATCACTCTACTTCGTGGCTCTCATGACCTTTGGCAATTATGTGCTCTTCAACTTGCTGGTTGCCATCCTTGTTGAGGGCTTTTCTGCCGAGGTAAGCAGCAGCCAATTGTTTACCTTTCATTATGCATTAACAGAGGCACTCACTAATCCTTTATATTCTGGCATATTGTTAGTTTAGCCCACGTGAGTATGGGAATCAGTTATACATTGTTATAAAGCATTTGTATGTTGGTTAATAAATATAGGATGTGTTCTCAGGACAGTGAAATTGGGGTAATTGTCAGTTTTTGCACTAGACTGTGGTTTTCAATTTTTCTAAAGCATACTGCATAAATATGAGGTCTAAGTTAGCTGATAAAAGCCTGTTACTTAGGATTGTTCACTCGACCTATCTTGTCATAACCCTTCTTGAATGGTAATTGCTTGATTTCTTAGAATCATATCTGCTTACCATACATTTAAGTATTAAGGCAGAAGGGATTAGATATGTTATCAATTATGTGCAAACCCCTAGCTCTACTGATTGTGACATTGTGTTATAAGTCTAGGAGTAGCATCTACAAAGTAAAAGTGCCCATAGTTATGGTAATAGCAATCATGGTATTAATTATGGATCACCTTCCCACTGGGCATTTTTGACACTTTATTGTCAAGTGTCATCAGTAGACAATGTCAGAGTGACGTTCAAGCAACCAAAAATGCCCACTTGGTTCTGGTTCCCATTGTTGGGAACAGGAAGTCTGTTAGGCTTATGAAGTTCTTTCCCAGGATGCAACCCACAACTGTGGGCTAATTCTGGGGGGGTCTCTTTACGGGTGTAAGGGCACGGGATTGGAAGCCGTACCCTAGAGTACGAACTCACAAAACCCATTCTTACTTTATTTACAGTATAGGTACGTTACTTTAAACCAGGAATAGAGAACCAATATACAGTACATTTATAAACACTTCAAACACAAGAGTAACTATGTGGATCCGGTACCATATTTTTCCATTGGCGAGACTCAAGAAACAATCAAAGTGCGTTAAATTTTGATTCACACTTAATGAATCAGAATTTGACAAAGCATTTTCACATAATTTGTTGGTTGTGTGTGGTCTATTTTCTCCTATTTCACATTCCATAACATGGCATTTATTCACATTAAATTCTATTTGCCAAGTTTTGCTCCATACACTTATTTTGTCCAGGTCTTCTTGAAGGGTATGACACTTGTCTAAGTTTTTTATGTTCCCTAGTATCTTAGCGTCATTAGCAAACATGTTCATATTATTCCATGTTACTTCTGGCAGGTCGCTTATGTAGACATAGAACATTACCAGTGCAAGAACTGAACCCTATGGTACTCCACTTCTGACATTTCTTCAGTCCGAAAAATTGCCGCTGATTACTGCCCTCATTTTTCTGTTACAGAAGATTTCATCCATGTTAGAATCCACTCTGTCCAAAGCCTTTTTCTGTGGGGAGCCCCTTTGGCTCCCTGGAGCTATTGGGCTAATATGCGAATCATTAGATTGGGACATTAGTCTATGGAGTTCTGCCTACCGGGGACCGCCAAAACATGGTCCCCCTCAGAGAGGCGCAGGGAGCAATGGCCCTGGAAAATACTCCTGTGGTTGGGGTTAACCTTATCTGCCATCGACCGGGGTTAGGCTACCAGAAAGGTATGCATAGCAAAACAGACCCCCACATGGTAAGAAAAATACAACCAAAACCCGAACATAGAGGTAGAACTCCCTCCAATCCCAAGGAAACGAGCAAACTTCACACTCCATCGCTGCGTTGCTCGTCCACACAGGCGAAGGTGTGGACAGGACTTCACTCTCCCCTCTCCAGGAGGGGGGTGGATGAAGCCCCGGACCCACCGTGCCAGCAACCCAGCCACTCTAGATGGTCATCTATTGTGAATCATGGCAGACGTCTTCTCTGACCTCGCTTTCCAAGCAGGGTTTGCCTTCGTGGTGTCCTCTGCGGTGTCGTTGTGTGTGGTTGCCAGTGTCCTCAAGACTACCAGGGCTGCATATGCTTAGGGCTGTATATGCCTCTTCCTTAGGCACCCTGTGAGACCTACCCTTGCATGTTTAGGTTCTCTTCCTTGGTGCGTTCGGGAACCAATTCCGTAGGGGTGTTTGCTGCTCGGCACTTCCCTTGGGGCCAGCTGGGGTTTTGTGGCCCTTGTTTCTTGTGGCTATAGTTCCACTTATATGATGTTGGTGGCCCTCTGCTAGGCCCCCGTGATTGTACACTGCTTCGACTTTGGTTCAGTCTGTGCTCCCTGGTCCTTCCCCTGTTGTTCATCCTGTACCTCCCCCTCCCCCCTCCTGCTTCTGGTTCCCAAATGTTGGAGGGCTTCAGGGTCGGGGGCAGGGTTAGTTGGTAATGAGACTCGGGCAGCTTCGGGGGCTGCCCCGTTTGGGTTGGGGACGGAGGCATTTGAGCCAGTTCCTCCTCCTGAGGCTTCTGGGTCCCACCAGCAATCCCCTTTCTTTTCGGCCTTTCCTGTGGACTCTGCCTTTTCTTCAGGGGTAGAGGGTATGGAAGCCGGCTTTACCACGGATCCCGACTTGGGGGATCGTGAGGCTAGGGAGGAGTTGACCAGAGGGCCTTTGGCCCCTTTTGACCCCACTTGGGTGTTGAGTACCCACACAACCCGACATGATTTGCCATTGGCTCCTCCCCGAGTTCAGTTCCAGGTTCCCTTGAAATCCTCGGCTCCTTCCTTCCTGAGGTTTTCTGTCTTCCGAATCTCACCTAATGAGGTTCAGGAAGCTCTTACTGCATACCTCCTGCAAGACCCAAATTTTGCCTACGTCATGGATCTATCCTCATTTGAGTTTAGTTATTCTTCCCCATATTGGGTGCGTTGGGAGATTCTGGAATCTTCCTGGCTGGCAGACTGCCCATTCTTTTCGTTGGGGGTGTGGCATGGGTTCTGTAGGATGCTTGAGTGGCAAGAAACTTCTACCATTCTGCTGGTTTACTTGGGGGTGGGGTTAAGTTTGAGGGCCTTAATGTGTGCTTGTTTGCCCCTATGCTGTCTTGGGTTGTTGGCCTTGTTCAGCTGCACGTGCCAGTTCCTACCCTTCCGGCGTCCTTGGTTGTTGAGGATTTGCATGCCCATGGGCATTTGACTTCGGTCTTGCACTTCTTTTCCCTTCTCGAGCTGTCTTTGACCTGGCTTGAGGAGGATGTGGAGGCTGAGTGTCGGGCCTTCGTTGAGTGTGCAGGCCTCGGCAGCTCGGGCCTCGGCAGCTCGGGCCTCGGCAGCTCGGGCCTCGGCTGCGCTGTTGAAGCTGATTGCGCCTATCCTGAAGGAGACAGTCTCTGTTCTTTGCTGATTGTCTCGCGTGTTGGCAGGCTGTGCTCACTCTCTCTTTGGAATCTGATTGGGCCTTGGGTTTTAGGCTTTCGTATGTTGCTGTTTGCAGAGGCTGCTGTCATGCAGTTTCTGAAGGTGGCTTCATCTAGTTGTTGTCCTATGTTAGACTTTTTGGTTCTCCGGGCTGTTTTCGAAGGCTGTTCTTGGTCTTCTCGGAAGGCACGACCCTTCTCGGAAGGGTCGTGCCAGGGGTCGGGGTTCGGCAAGTCGGGGTGGGCTTAATACTTGGAATTAAGGTAGAGAAACTAAGCCTAATTATTATTCTAATATATAAACCGCCAGATACAACGGTTGAGGAATTCACAGAGCAGATGCACAAAATAGAGAACATACTTGATAACCTAGCAAACCCAGCTCCAAATATTATCTTCCTTGGAGATTTCAATTTACCGAGTCTAAGATGGAGAATGGCAAACACAAATATCATAGCAGGGAATGACCCAGGAAATAACCAACCACAGGTCAGAGAACTTTTGAGATTCTGTGACATATTCTCGCTCAATCAACAGATTACAGAACCAACTAGGAACGAAAACATGCTAGACTTGTTATTCACAAACAATGATGAACTAATCAGAGACATTACAATCTCAGATACTACATTCTCAGACCATAAGCTCATTGAAGTGCGAACTAGCATAAATAACGGTAGTAGGTCTAAGAGACCTAACAAGCGAGAAGGAGTATTCAATCAATTCAATTTCAACAATAAGAGGATCGACTGGGAAAAAATAAATGTAGACCTTGCAACCATTCAATGGGAGACGGTCTTAAGCGACAAAATTCCCATACAGGGAATAGCTCAACTGACAGCAGAAGCTTACAAGGTCTACTTGAAGCACGTGCCTGTGAGGAGGGGCAGAAAGAGGACCACACTAGAAAGAGAACGCAGACGACTGTACAGGTGAAGGAAAAAAATAACGGAAATGCTTCGGCAGACACAACTATCACAAGCAAGGAAAATAAACCTAAGCAGGGAGATCGAAGAAATAGAACAAACGTTGAAGAGATCATATGAGTCTGAGGAAATGGAATTGGAACAGAAAGCTATACAAGAGAGAAAGAAAAATCCAAAATATTTTTTCACATACGCAAAATCAAAATCAGAAACCTCGACCAGTATTGGACAGTTAATTACAAATGAAGGTACGTACACAGAGGACAACAAAGAGATTAGTGAAACTTCACCGTGTTTCATAGCCAGTATGAGGCTATGTTTAGCATACCAATAAACAACTTGAAAGTTGATGACCCAGACAGCTTCTTTATGAATGACATTCAAGCTGCAGATAATATAACGGATATTACCACAAACTCGGAAGACTTTGAAAGAGAAATTGACAATATGCCTATGCACTCAGCTCCTGGGCTGGACTCATGGAATTCAATATTCATAAAGAAATGTAAAGTACCAGTAGCACAAGCACTCAGCATAATCTGGAGAAAGAGCCTAGATACAGGGGAGATACCAGCAGCACTTAAATCTACAGATATAGCTCCTTTGCACAAGTAAAGTAAAGCCTTGGCAAAAAATTATAGGCCAGTTGCACTAACATCACACATAATAAAAGTGTTTGAAAGAGTGATTAGGAATCAAATTTCTAGTTTTATGGAAAACAATGAGTTGCACAACCCAGGACAACATGGATTTAGAGCGGGAAGATCCTGTCTGTCACAGTTACTCAACCACTATGACAAAATCACAGAAGCT